GAAGCTCCCTAGGCGCTTCTAATGTACAGCCAGTATTGGAAAACATAGTAATTTAAACCCTTGCTTAATTAAAAAAACAAATTCAGGGAAGTTATCAAGTTTTTCCAAGATCACATGTCACAGGATTCTTTTTGCCTTTGTTTCCCCAAAATAATGTATGTCTTAATGATTCTTTGAATGTCAATCACAGCAATAGACACGTTCTAAATTTGATTTTTAAATATTTTGAAGTAGCAACTGAACAGGGGACCCAATGGAAAAACACGTGCGCTGCATGTCAGTTCTTGCCTTCTTCAAAATGATCCTACAGTCAGCTATTTCGGGTTATCATTTTTAGTTAAGATATCAGTATGGCTGCATAGTATTCCATGGTGTATATGCACCACATTTTCTTCATCCAGTCTATCATTGATGGACATTTAGGTTGATCCGATGTATTTGTTATTGTGAATAGTGCTGTAATGAACATAATGTGTGCATGCATCTTTATAATAGAAGAGTTTATATTTCTTTAGGTATATACCAAGTAATGGGATTGCTAGGTCAAATGGTATTTCTGGTTTTAGGTCTTTGAGAAATCATCATATTGTCTTCCACACTGAACTAATTTATATTCTCAGCAACAGTGTATAAACATTCGTTTTTCTTCACAATCTCACCAGCGAAATCATGTTCTTCACAGGGATGGATGGAGCTGGAGGCCATTATCCTTAGCAAACTAACCCAGGAACAGAAAATCAAATACTGCATGTTCTCACTTATAATGAGAGGGAGCTAAATGATGAGAACGCATAGACACATGGAGGGGAACAATACACACTGGGGCTTATTGGAAGGTGGAGGGTGGAAGGTGGAGGGTAGAGGTTGGGAGGAGGGAGAAGATCAGGAAAAATAACTAATGGGTACTAGACTTAATACCTGGGTGATGAAATGATCTGTACGACAAACCCGCATGACACAAGTTTATCTACGTAACAAACCGGTACAGGCACCCCTGAATTTAAAGTAAGTTAAAACAGATATTAATATGAGAATTTTGGAATCTTTAAAATTTCTCTGTGTAAACCTACTTTTGAGAAGACATAACCCAGGAATAACACAGTGGGTTATTATTTATGTTCCTTATTTCAAATGTGTTATTAGGGGCAAAATAAAACTTTGGTTAACATATTCCAAAGATAAATCTTTGCAGCTAAATGTAAACTATGAGTTGATTTCTGGTGTTTCGCCTTAAAACTACAAAAGTGACTCTGAATCTGAGGTGTCGCTCTGTGCTCCCCATTCTGCTTCCCAGTCCTCAAAGATGAGGCTCTCGGTGCTTTAGGCACAGAGGTGCTAACTTTTTGTGTTATTTCATACAACCTATTGTGCCTGGGTTATGGTGACATGTCCTTTGACTATTAATTGCAATCTCTAGATAAAAAGAGCAAGTTTCTGCTTCCCCAAGGTAAGGCACAGCCAATAGGCCAGATCTATAATTTAAGACTACCAGGAGTGAGCTTCAAACCTTGCCTTTGGTGATAATGTTATCAATCAGAAGAATTAACCAGACCTCCTAGCTGAGGACTTTAACAGATGGAACTATACAAAGGTAAAGCAGATAGGCAACACATTAAAATATAAATGGCTTCATTAATTGTGATTTAGATATTCAACTTATGAAAACTTTTTCTTCTTCTTTGGAATAATTAAGTTGTAAGAAAATAAATCTAGCCATACTTTAAAAAATGAGAAAATGTTCAGGCTAAAGATATATAGTGGTAACTTATAAGACTTATAAGATTAATATAATGAAGAAAAGATTATCCGCCGGGCGCGGTGGCTCAAGCCTGTAATCCCAGCACTTTGGGAGGCCGAGAAGGGCGGATTACGAGGTCAGGAGATCGAGACCATCCTGGCTAACACGGTGAAACCCCGTCTCTACTAAAAAATACAAAAAACTAGCCAGGCGAGGTGGCGGGCGCCTGTAGTCCCAGCTGCTCGGGAGGCTGAGGCAGGAGAATGGCGTGAACTCGGGAGGCAGAGCTTGCAGTGAGCTGAGATCCGGCCACTGCACTCCAGCCTGGGCGACAGAGCGAGACTCAGTCTCAAAAAAAAAAAAAAAGATTATCATAGTCTGTGGGTGTGGGGACGTGTGTGTGTGTGTGTGTGTGTGTGTGTGTGCGCGCGTGTGTGTGTGTGTGTGTGTGTGTTGCTGCCCTCTACTGGGGATCAAAGGACGAGTTCTCATTAAGTTCTTACCAGCTCAATTCCAATTGAAAATCTCTTCATGATAAAAATTAAATCAAGCACCTAGTGTGTGTGTGTGTGTGTGTGTGTGTGTGTGTGTGTGTGTGTGTGTGTGTGTGTGTGTGTGTGTTGCTGCCCTCTACTGGGGATCAAAGGACGAGTTCTCATTAAGTTCTTACCAGCTCAATTCCAATTGAAAATCTCTTCATGATAAAAATTAAATCAAGCACCTAGCAAAGTTCTAAGTACCAGAAACAAAGTATAGTACCACAAGACTATAAACCTTAGGGTTTTTTTTTTTTTCCTCAATTGTCCGTACTTTACATTTTAGAGGAAAATCGTTGAAATCATGCAAAGACAGCCTTTACTGAGAATGATTTTTACCTCTAAGACTGAGAGTTTCATTCAGAATTGACATTCAGGATGAATACCAATGAGTCAGATCGGCTTTATTCAGTATCAGTTACACGCATATAAAATGATTTTAGTACCCTTAAAAAATTTTTGGTAACCTTGGCTGGGTGCGGTGACTCATGCCTATAATCCCAACGCTCTGGCAGGCCAGGGTCAGACGGATCACTTGAGGCCAACATGGTGAAACCCCGTCTCTACTAAAAATACAAAACTCAGCCAGGCATGGTGGTGGGTGTCTGTAATCCCAGCTACTAGGGAGGCTGAGGCAGGAGAGTCCCTTGAACCCGGAAAGCGGAGGTTGCAGTGAGCCGAGATCGCGCCACTGCACTCCAGCCTGGGCGACAGAGCAAGATTTTATCTCAAAAAAAAAAAAAAAAAAAAAAAAAGCTGGGCGTGATGGCTCACGTCTGTAATCCCAGCACTTTGGGAGGCCGAGGCGAGCAGATCACCCGAGGTTGTGAATTCAAGACCAGCCTGACCAACATGGAGAAACCCATCTCTACTAAAAAAACAAAATCAGCCGGGCATGGTGGCACATGTCTGTAATCCCAGCTACTCCACAGGCTGAGGCAGGAGAATCACTTAAACCCGGAGGCAGAGGTTGCAGTGAGCCGAGATCGCGCCATTGCACTCCAGCCTGGGCAACAAGAGTGAAATTCTGTCTCAAAAAAGAAAAAAAAAAAAAAAAGATTTGGTAACCCCATATTTTCTGTAGAGTTCTGGTAAATTGTATGACTTGATTTCACTGATGAATTTCTTTTGTTTTGTCTCATTTAATCTTCTTACTACTATGAGGCAAGTATTATTAATATCCCCAACTTATCATATGAGAGAATTTAAGCACAAAGATGTAAATAAATATTCTGAAGCCTCACAGCTGGAAACAAAACGTAGGACTTTGAATGCAGGAAATCTCAGGACAGAAGCCATGCTCTCAGCAAACACACTAAAAGGCCTTGCATATAACATGGTGCTGAGCACATAACATGGTTATGCTGCAAAAAATGTACTTGCAGAGCGAGATTATTCACCTATTAATTCTTGAAAATCAATGTGTTATGAGTTAGTCTTAAGTTTCTCCAAGGCAAAACTATGACACAACATATGCCATGCTAAATTATGGAAATATTTCATCTTGAGATGCCAAATTTTAAAGCAGAAATACTGAAAATAAATATAGTTTATATTCCATAGATTTTGTTGTTCCTGGAATTCTTCATGCTTTTTCTAACCCTCCACCCTTTGCTCATTTTCATTATCTTTACATGACTTAGTTATGCCAATGCCTCCTAGCCTACTATAATCTGCATTAGTCTGCTTGAAATGCCATAACAAAATATCATTGACTTGCTGGCTTAAGCAACAGAAATTTTTGTTCATACAGTTCTGAAGGCTGGAAGTTCGAAATTAGGGTGCCAGTATAGTCGGGTTCTGGTGAGGTCCCCCTTCCAGGTTGCAGAGAGTCACCTTTCACAATGTACTCACATAGTCTTCCCTGGCTGTGAGAGCTGGAAGGCCATGAGGTAGATGAAGGAGATGACGGGAGGGAGGGTAGTAGGGGAGAGCAACATCTTCCTCTTCTTATAAAGTCACCAATTCTATGGGATTTGGACTCCACCCTTATGACCTCATTTATCTTGGTTACCTCCTGAGAGCTCTGTATTCAAATATAGTCACACTGGGGGTAAGGGCTTCCATATATGAATTGGGGGCATACAATTCAGTCCATAACATCATCTTTTACATTTCAATTGCCCATTTTCTCCTTTCTTAGAATTAATGTCTTGCAATCACCTGTTTACTTACCTGTGTCTCGTTATACACGTGTTCCCTCAGGCCAAATTCTAACTATATTGCCACTGTATCCCAGGCATAGAACATATTCATGTGGTGAGTACTGTTGGATGAATAAATCAATGATACCAATGGCTTTATTCTGCTTCTTTACCAGCTTTTAGAAGCAAATGTCATCATTAAAGCAGGGGTAACAGGTTTGTTGGCTTAAGCAGATACCTGGGGCTTTACTGGAGATAAAACATCAAAACAAGCCTTATGCTCATTCAGCCACTAAACATCATGAATTTTAGTCTCCTCCAAAGTCCTCATCAAAATAGTAGAATTTGCATGACAATAAAGTTAAACTTTGGGCAACAGCCATGACTGTGCTAGGAAGTAAGTGTTGCAACTGTTCAGGTGTGCAGCACACCAATTCAATTTGTAATTTCTTATTTCAGGTGAACACATTTTTTAAGAATAGAGTGAATGATTTAATAAATTATATCCATTGAATAAGTGACAATATAATATACATACCATACTCAACAATTAGTTAAAATTAGTTATAAAAAAAGACATTGTAATCAGGCCTGTACACATTTTATTATACTCTGAATAACAAGCATGTAACAAAATTTTGAGCATGACAAGGAAGAAATATTTCAAATTCTGTTTCTTACAAAAGCATTAAGAACAATACACAAAGACTGTTCATAATATTTTACAGTCAGCTAAAAATAACAAGACATTCTAGGACTTTAGGAGTTTTCCTTTTCTTTCAACTAGAGCATTTATTTCCATTAGCTTTGCTACAGTGAAAATTAACATATATGGACATACACATAGCAGTGAAATGGAAAATGAAGGCATACAACAAACATTCTGATTAATCAACAAGTATAAAATACAGCCTTTTAGTACTTCTGAACTTACATTTTCTTTGAATGTACAATGAAACTTTTTGTGTAAAATGTTTTTAATGTTAATTTTGACAGTTCCCAAAGTAATTAATACTTTTTCTTAGCACCACCATTAATCTAATTTTAGAATTTGAAATGAATTAAGAAACACACTAAGCTCATTCAGAGGTGCTATTCACAACACTGAACAACAGGCAATTCACTGCCCCTTATCAAGGCAGAGACACTGTAGTAAATGAGTAGTTCACCAATACTGTCTATCCCAGGTGAATATCAGCCCTGATCTTACTTCCAATGACCAGATACATGTTTTGGCTTATTTGTAGTAGCATGAGCTATGAGATATGAAACATGAAAGTCACATAGACATGAAATTAAACTCAAATCTCTACTGCATGGAGGCTGAATGTGAAATATTTCACAGTGACTAAAACTGACTGGCTAACAGGCAATGGTGGATTTTTATATTCAACTTTGATTAACATAAATGGACTTTACAAGAAACCCTTGAGATTTAATTAATGCTGATAATCCAAGGGCTCCAAATGACTGAGGAGCCTTTAAAATCAGTATATGTGACCTTTTATATTTTTTTCCATAAGAAAAAAAAATAAAAACACCGAGGTACTTAAGTTTCTTTTCAAGGGATTACTGTTGGTTATCTTCCTGAGATGCAAAAGACCACAGAAAAAGCACCATGCCTAGGCTGCTGAATGAGGCATCAGACACTAATAGTTTGGTCCTTTCCTGAATGGATCTCTTCCAGCAGTTACACTAAAACATAGTGATGGGTCACAGATGCCTGGGGGGCCTGGTTGCCCTTGGATTCCAGGTTTTCCATGATCTCCGTCTTTGCCAGGGAGACCTGGGTCTCCTGGAGGACCTTCTTTGCTTATTCCAGGAGGGCCCTCTGGACCTAAAATGGGACATTGGCAAGATGTAAACAGAGAACTTTAGTTTTTTATAGTGAAATAGCTGATTCTGCAAGAAACTTAAACTAAAAAAGAAAAAACCTCTTGAATATTTTATATATTTGCACTAATTATAAAGTAGAGGCGGCCGGGCGCGGTGGCTCAAGCCTGTAATCCCAGCACTTTGGGAGGCCGAGACGGGCGGATCACGAGTTCAGGAGATCGAGACCATCCTGGCTAACACGGTGAAACCCCGTCTCTACTAAAATACAAAATAAATTAGCCGGGCGAGGTGGCGGGCGCCTGTACTCCCAGCTACTCGGGAGGCTGAGGCAGGAGAATGGCGTGAACCCGGGAGGCGGGGCTTGCAGTGAGCTGAGATCCGGCCACTGCACTCCAGCCTGGGCAACAGAGCTAGACTCCGTCTCAAAAAAATAATAATAAAATAAAATAAAATAAAGTAGAGGCATTTTCATAATTCTACATATCTTCTGCTTTGAAAAGAGCCATCCAAAAGTTATCAGTACTTTTTGAAAACTAGCTATATTAACATAGCAACCATGCTACTGATTAAAACATTTAGCTAACATTATAATATTCCATTTTGTGTACTGTCCAATCTTATTTCTTCCTTTCAGCCTATCTTTTACCGATATTATTATAAATTGACAGGTGATATATAAGCCAAAGCTGAGTCATTTTTGTGCCATATTTATGACAAATAAATGACTGTTTCTATTATACATATTTTTAGTTTCCATATCTAAATGCATTATTCTTATTTTAGTATAATAGTCATCAATACACATAGGTATGAAAGCCCTAATTTGTCCAACATAGCCTGATTAGTTCAATTAGCATGCTCGAGGAAACAAAAGCTAGCTTAGGATATTGGCCTTTTAAAGTGGATTCAAAATAACAAAAACAAAATATTCAGATTTTGGGAAGGAGCACAGTGGTTTCGGTCTCTTCTTACTCCTCTATTCCCTGCTACTACTACTAATAAACATCTGTTTAGCACTTAACTGCAACTGTAAGTATTGTTCAAAGTATTTTACATAAACAAGTTTTAAGTCATTTGATCAACTCCAAAGCCTCTTAATAACATCTAATCATAGCAAACATTTATTGAAAACATAACTGTGATTGTCCTGCATTGTTCTGAAAGCTACATATGGAAACTATTTAATCTCCCAATAATGTCATGATGGAGATAACATTATCATCACCATCTTACCAGTGAGGAAACTGAGACATGACAGAGTTAAATAGCACAGCTAGCAGAGATTACTTAACCACTTCAGCATTTCTCTGCTTCTCAGAGGGTCATAAAGACTAAACAGTGTTATACACCAGATAAGCAGGGGTGCCAAACGATTCTAGAACTCTTCTAAGGAATAGATATTAAACTAAATGATAAGCAAGAGATAATATTGAAGGATTCATACATTGAGGATAATATATGAAAAATATTCTAGAAGTTGTACTTCAGTGTGTTAGATGTGAATCACTCAAAAAAGAAAACGGATGTCTTGGTTTCAATTTATTTCACATAGATCTATGATGACTTTTCTTAAAGCAAAATGAGCAGCAACACTTATGACCAGGCAGCAATTCTCACCCGGGGGACCAGGAGGACCTTGTTCTCCAGGATGCCCAAACCCTTGGCTCCCTTTTTCCCCATTTCTTCCTGGTAGGCCTGCAGGGTGTCAAACATCTGAGTAAGTTTACTTAAAATCACTGCCTTTTAGATTGTTTCTTTCAAAGCTGTTAATATACACATGAAATAAAAATGTCTTTTAAAAACCAGCTTGCCATCTATTTTTTCTTACTAATGGAAAACAATTTTTGAAGCAATCATTTCTAAAATGATCAGTGGTTTAGTTGCAAGACTTAATGGGAATCAAACATTTAGAAAAGAAAATGGTTTGGAATTATTAGCCCTTTGTGTTAATCATAGTTTTTTAAAAATTACTTTATGAAACATCTAAATTGTTTATATATTATTAAACAAAAACGAAAGAATTATCAATCAACATTTCACATAAACTTTCAAAGGCAAGGAGAAATTCTGGGCTATTAGGAAGTTTTATTGCAAAACTTATTTTTCCTATAATAGAAAAAAAATGAATAAGGTAACAGTGCAGAAAGTTACCAAAGTCAAAACAAAGGAAATGGCATCCATGATTTTCCATTTAAAAACTTTTCTAGACTCAAGCAAAATTTCTCAGTACATTGACAACATTTTCTAATTTGTAACTTCATGTGTTCATAAATTTGACTTCTCTATTTGATAATATTGCATTAAAAAATAATTTCTCTTTAATTCAGTTGGCAAATTATGTAAAGACTTGAGCATTTACAGATTTTTTTTTATCATGAAAACAAAGTTAATTCTTGACTATTAAATGGATATAGGATATGAATTTTTTTAAAAAACAACTTTTTAAAATTCATTTTCTTGTTCAAACTAACTGCATACCTTTTAATCCTCTGATACCTGGACGTCCAGGGACACCCATTAATCCAGGAACACCATCTCTTCCTGGCAAACCAGGTAATCCTCGGGGACCCTCTGGTCCTACAGGACCAGGTGGCCCAGGAATACCCGGGGAGCCATGTTGGGACTGGCAATGATCACAATTTCTAATTCTTCCACTCTGAAGTAAGACTGGTAGCTGGGCTTTTAAAAACAAAGAAACCCCATCCCTTATGTTTAAATGGTGAGTTGGTGTTAATTATATTTCTATTTTATTTTTTTCAGTTTACAGAGAAAACAACTATGAGCACTGAATATGTACATATTTCTTGGTCAATAATTTGACTTCTAGGAATGTGACTATGGAAATATTCACTGCTCTATGCAGTCATTTAATTACAGAAATTGCTTAAAATAGGGGAAAAAGTAAAAGTGCCCCCAAAAGAAATTGGTGGAATTATAGATATTCATATTGATGAACTAAATTATCAAAAAATATGCTACAAAAGAAAATTATAATAATGACAAATAATAAATTTCTTTAATAAAAAGATTATAAAAGAGTATGTATGATACATCTTTATAAAAATACTAGTTGAAGAAAAGTAGATGAGGCTTATAAATGTTATCTGTTTTATTCTTCACCTCACTTATATCCTCTACAATTTGTCCTAAGAATTTGTATTACTTTTGTGATTTGAAAAAAGTGATTAAAATGCTGTATTTGATACTTACCTCTTATTACATCCGTGCAAACTTGTCGAATAAATTGTTCTGAAAACTCTCTTCCCTATATCAAAGTATTAGGGGTTATGACATGCACATAAAGAACATGAGCAAAAATCAATGAAAATATAATAACTCTGGAAGAAGCAGAATACATACGGGCTTCCCATCCAAACCTGGGGGTCCCTGAGGACCTGGGTCCCCAGGTTGCCCCTTAGGACCTGCAGGCCCCATCAAGCCATCCACCCCAGATTCTCCTTTTGATCCAATGGCACCTCGGACACCAGGATCCCCCTTTTCACCTCTCTAAAAGCAAAAGAAATGTTTACAAGTTCTACTTAAATATTTCGGAAGGTGTAATTCCATTATGAAACTCCTTAAGGATGATGAATGTATACATATGTAAGCTACGTAAGGACTAGCTGGAAATACTATCATTGACCAGAAGGGAAATTTCATATCATATTAAACTGTCATTTATCCATCCATCCAATCAGCCAGACCTACAAACATCCACTACTGATTGAGTATATTGCGTAGGTAATATGCACACTGCCAGAGATATCACAATGGGCATAACACAGTCCTATTCACAAGGAGCTTGCATTTTAGTGGGTCCGACAGATACAGAAATGCACAATATTCTTATTCAAAAATATGGAGAAAAAATTCAGCTCCAAGTCTGGCAGAAAAACCAATAATAGTGACAATTCACATTTCATATCAAATTCAGTATAAATGTACATATTCTGAAAACTGCTAATTGGGAACTTCCACTGAAGAAGATGAAAAACGTTTCATTTTCTGGTTTTTACTCAAAAGCTTGATTTATATAGTATTGAAACCCAAGCAAAAAGGACTGAAGAACGAGAGCAAGAGAGCATAATACATGAAGAAACATACCTCTCCTTTTGCGCCATGATGGCCTTGAATTCCCTTTGAAAATCAATAGGAAAAAAACTATAATAAATGTGCAAGCTACAGTACTGTAACGTGGCATCCACCTTTTACCACATACTTAATCAAATTTAAAATTTCAATTTGGAAAATATTGATAGCATTAGTGACAAAATTACACATAAAAGAGACCCTTTTTGCCTTTTAGAGAAGGCTAATGACTAGGAAATATGTGAACCGAATAATATAAAAATTTTAATTTGCTTAACTGTTTCCTTCTTAGATATGAATATTTTCGAATGCTGCAGGTTGAACCACGTGGGTAAGAATGGGATTCTACTGAATTTAAAATATATCACTATTTTAATAAAAATCAAAACTCAAATCAGATTAAATATTAGGTATATTTATTGTTGTATTCAGTAATTAAGATAAATCATCTATTTTTCCAAGTTTATGTTCTTAAAATTAAATTTTGATTGGGTGCTATTGACAAAGGATGGGTTAAAACAAAGATACCATTAAAAGTGACTAGTAAGAGAGAAAACCCCCAGCTGTCCTGTGCTTAAACCATTCACTGCCAGTAATTAAGAGACCAGAGAAGCAATGTCATGTAAAAGATGGTATTTTTTCACAATGATATAAACACTGGGGAGCCCATGCATGAAGCCCATTCAACTATAATTACCAGCTACATCTGGATGGCTCCATTAAAGTCTTTCCCATTCCTCTTTTCCATATTTATTTCAGTGGTATATTATACAGGAAAAAACTCTCAGGAAAGGTATTAACATTTTCCATTTTTGAAATTCAATGTACACCTGGGCTCAAAAATCTCCTAATATTCACTCAGGTAAAAAGATAAAACTTTCATAACAGGTAGGTTTTCATTATTCAACTTTAAAATAAAAAATCAGTGTTCTGAAATTTAATATGAAATTTAATGTATAATGTTGCACACAATAAAGTCTGAGTTGGGGTATATCTTTTGATTCATTTTCAGGCTCCTCAAATATGGCGTCCAAATTTGACAAAGGAAAGAATTAGATAAAACTCATAAAACACCAAATATTTAGTTTTTGTATATAAATCTTTTAGTAAGTAAAACGAACTTTGTATGGCATACTTGAATTTTGTTTCTGAAGAAATGCAGGAGTGATCCTTACAAGATACAATCCAACAACTAGTCCCAACATAAGAAGGGAGACGAAATAGTTAAGTTCTCAATATGGGAACTGAATTAGAGCTAAAACTAAAAACAGCTGTCACCTGAGAACTCATTAAGACAATTCCGTGAGAGAAATATCCACTTTGATTCCATTCACAAAACCAGGGCCAAAAAAATAACATGTGCTGTGCTTGGTAGAGTGACAGGTAATTAAGACTGTTTACATGAAGAGTTTGGGATGACTCTTCAGCCGCTGAAAAGCAACAGCTGCTCTGGCCCTGGGTACTCCATGCAGGTTAACCTCCTGGTGGTGAGAAATGTGGCTTCCAATCAATCGAGGGCAGAGGCTTTCTAGAGAACCCAAATCCTGCCTTAGGAGAGCAGACACACTCTTTTCCTTGAGAAGTGAAAAAGTTAGTGAAACCTTAGAGAAAGAGTGATCCATACGCCAGTGAGCTAGCTAAGTTGTGAGTTCAAATTCTAAAGGAAATATCCTTTTCTGAGAGTTATTGTGAGTAACCTTTATTGATAAAAGGTCTGGGCTGTGGAGGTTAAATGGATGAAGGGGCGAAGGTCCTATGGGAACAGCGGTTTATAGATATTTTGTGATTAACTTAAGGAAACTCAGAGAGTTGATCTGTGTTGCCACGTTGGGGAATAGGGATGGAGTTGTTTGTGTCATCAGGTGGGTCTGAGTCAAGTGGAGGATCATAAAAACTGAAAGACATTTTATTGAATATAATTGTACTGAGGCGATTCCAATCATTCCTCCTCTTGGTTACTTTTGCTTTTACTTTTATTGTTACCTTCTAAATTCTCAATTCTTCTTAATACTGGCACTCACCTTCCATCCCATATTGCAGATAACCTTGGGGCCCTATGCTTACACTCTTCCCAATGGTCTCTCAGACTCCTCCAACTAAGGGACACAGAGACCCCTGTCCTTGGAAACATCACCACCCAGTTTTATCCCACTCTCTCCAGAGCTGGTATAATTGCAGAATCTTTCTCCCACTCACCCTCAGAGAAAGAGGTCCACCCCATGGGAGGACTCACATATCCAGCTTGCCCTTTCAGACCTGACGAAGTTGGAACCATGTCCAGCATTCTGCAGCTAGAAGCAAGACAGCAGCAAACATGCTACCCTAAGGACCAATCTCCTTTATGCCTTTGTCCATCCACTTTGGCTCTGACTGAACTTACAGTCACATGGCAATCTCACTGAAATACCACCTAACGAGAAGGGTTTAGTCAAGAGACAAGCAAAGCCATCTTACTGTGTGTGTCTGTTCTACAACACTGTCTCTCAGGATAGCATTTTAATATATCTCCAGAGCAGTAAATTGTCTCTCTGAACAAACTAAAGGGAAAAAAGTACATTTATCCACCACACGTGGCCCCAACTGATTTTCAAGAAGAAAAGCAAGACAAACCAGCAGGTATGAACAAGCTGTCATTGTGTGACTGACTCTCTCTAGCCAATAACTACCCCTAAGAAATGAGTGGAATTTTCTACCTTCAGTCATTTGCTAAGATACATTAAAAAACAAAATTCAGAGCCACCAATGCTATCATTATGAGAAAGTGAAAATATAAAACAAACAATTAAAGAAACTCATTATCACCACACTACCTACACGTTCAACCTTATACACTTAGAATGTATGTTATACTTATCCTTCTCCCCACCCATTTTTATTTGCAAGTAATCCTCTCTCAACATTGTCCAGTTATGTGACTTGTTATTTCATTTTTTATCAGAAGAAAACCAAAAAATACCTGTTGCCCTGGAATTCCCTGTCTTCCATTATCTCCCTTTTGACCCTTTAACATAAATAAACATTATTGATTAGTTTGCACACTTATGATGCAATCACATATACAATACAAACTATGTATTACCTTGAGTTCCAGAAGAAATGTAACAAAAGCAGTGATACAAATATATAAATTATGTGAGAGATGGGAAAGTCAGTCACTCAGAGGAAAAGAAGAAAAGTCATCCTAATCTTATAGTTAAAATGGCCAGAGATAAGGAACAAATTACTGATTTGGGCGAAACATGTAAATAATTCTAGACAATAAGGATGTTCTTCTAAGTCCATATTAACAGTGGGAAAATAGTTTAAAAATTCAATGGATATGGACATTTTGTTAATTTCAGTGGCAATTATGTTCATTGTTGACTATGGACATGTGAGGACAAGAAGACCTGTTGAAAATTTTATTTTTAAAAATTAAAATATACTGTCACATTTTAGTAAATAAGTCATTTAAATGAAGAGCTTTAAATCAGCATAAGAGAACAGAAAAATTAATAAAGGTATAAACACATTTATCTGTTCAATAAATATTTTTGGGTATCTACCATTCATGGGACATTGTGCTAGACTCTGAAGCACTACTTCATCCTTACATTTATTGTGCAAATTAATTAGCAGTTTCTAGGAAGACATATACCTAGATAAGGCAATCAATAAAAGATCTAGTGACTACAATTTTACATCACCCTTGCCTAGTAATGAATTCATCAATTTACATAAGTGAATTCCTAATATTTATTAAGCAGCGCCTATTTCCTGGCACTTAGGGACTGAAACAAAGATATCACTGTAGACTTTAAGTCACTTACTGTGTGGTAAGAGAGATAAATCTAGAATGATGAAAATACTGCTGATAAGTCTATAATGTATAAACATCTGGGTTGGATATTATTGGAACTTAGGAAGGGGCATCTGACAGAAAGAGTAGGGAATGTGACTCACCCTTTGTGTAGCCTTGAGGGATGAGTAAGAGGTAGCCAATTGGAGAAAGGATAGGAGGGTGTATCAGGGAGAGAAGACACAGGTGAAAGGCAGGTAGGTAGTTTCTTTTGGCTAAAGCAGCAGAGCAGGATTGGATAAGAATGGGTGGAGTGGCAAGAGAAAACACTAAAGAAGATTCAGTCAGCCCAGAAGGCACTTGATGGGACAGGCTTTATCTTAACATGTGTGGGGCACCATTAAAGGCTTGCTAAGCAGATACATAGCTTAGCTATTTTATGTATATAAAAGTGTGGAAGAAGGAAGTAGACTGGACTCAAGGAGACTGGTCAGGAAGATACTGCAGTAGCCCAGGACCCCGACAAGAAATAACTAGTACAGTTGGGAAAGGTAGAAGATGTCAAGTTCAAGAGATATTCAGCATTGATTATCATGACAGGAAATCTGTGAATACGAAGTGGTTTATGGAGAAAGATGACAAGTTCGGTTTTGGACATATTGAACCTGAGGTACCCATGAGTCATCTAAATGCAGTACCAAGAAGAAAATTAGAATATATGGGTCTAGAGCTCACAGACACGTCCTTAACATTTACCTCACTCCCAACTTCAATATTAACTTAAAGGAAGCCTATTATCATAGTACTTGAAGATCTTCAATAAAAATTGTCTGAAAAACAACTGAATTTTGTCATACCACTCTAAAACATCTTATGTATGTTATTAAGAATAAGTTCATTAATATGAACTGTTATAACTGTGGATATAGCAAATATTGCCTATGACTATTTCAATCTGAAATTTTCTCTTACAATTCCAGAAATTCTAGAGCATTCAGAATTCTACATTTGTGAAAATGTTCAGAGTATTTTTCTTTATATTTTCAGCTTATTCTGCATAGCAAAGCTCAGACACTATAACTGAGACTTACAAACTTAAAAAACATCATTAAAATACTGTCTGAACACTTGATTGGTAATTTATGGTTGGAAAAGTTTTATATTTCTAAAACTTAAAAGGTTGAAAGACCATTGGATATAATTTATTCCAGATAACTATTTCATTGACTCAGTTAGTGGCATCCTATTCAAGGGTCAGTCTTCAGTGAATAAAAAAACCCATTCCATAGACACTTTAATTGAGGTGAAACTATCCTTGTCTCCTAAGGTAGTAACATAGTTCTCCTCTTTGCCTTTGCTGCTAAGACACCCAAAACTAAATGTCTCTAAATCACCCTAGATTTCCCTAGCCTTTATAATTTTCTGGTTTAATTTTCCTTTTACATATTGATTTGAATATGTTTTATATTTAGGGTTAAAGGTTTTTAATCAAATTTTTGCCATAAAACAATTTCAAATCATGTTTGGAAACTCTGTGTGTGTGTGTGTGTGTGTGTGTATACATATATGTGTGTGTGTGTATATGGTATATATATGTATATATGTACATAAATACATATTAGAAGTATATAATAAAATCTATGTTTTTATTTTGTTGAATCATTTTGTTTCTAAGTTTTCTACAACAGAAAAGTGGTGAGGAATTTTAAAGTCAGATCTGGTCTTGTCTGAGAAGCTGAATAGCAAAAGGAGAAAATAGGATTCAACAACTTTATATTAATGTTGAAACAAAGGAATTTAAAAGTAAAATAAGAATTTTTTAAAAGCTCTGATTTTATTGCTTAGCCTACTAAAAAAAAGCAAACAACATACCTGAATACCTTTTTCACCTTGATTTCCTTTGTCCCCCTACAAAAAGGCAGTTTGATCTGTATCATAATCTAGTATATTCTGTACAGTTTCAAATAAACATATATTTTTCTCTGCTGAAGAAAAATAACATCTCATGCAAATTCCACAAGCGCCTATATACACAGAAGTTGACTCCTAAGACAATATTTGGGAAGAGAGAAGAACCACATTATGTCAAAATTATATTGTAAAAGAACACTTTTGTATGCTCCTACATTTGAAAGAAAATTCACCACAATCTTTAATTTCCCAGAAAGGAGAAAAGTTCTACATGGGTCACAGTTTTAGGTTAGACAAACTAACAAGAGAGGACTTATTTTGACAAATGCTGTTTTATGAAATCAAACTGAAAATCTTTCATTAAGCTATTAGTAACCACAAGTTTATAGGAAACAATGACAAAGTAAAGCATAATATTTAAGTGATATTTTAGAAAACACACATTTCAAAAGTGAGCTTTTGAAAGAAAAATTATATTCCATAAAAATAAGTTTTATAGATTATCAGCTAGAAGGGTAATTAGAAACCAACTTATACAATGCCCTTGTTTTTATAGATCACGAAACAGACAGTTAAGCACCTGCCCAAAGTTAAACTTGGATACGGTTTCTGAATTTCCTTTCTATTAATACCTCACCGTGCTATCTAGAGTACAGTTTTGCATTTTCAACAAAATAACACACAGATTTTCTTTTAAGTGACAAGTTTTGAACAAGAAAATTCTCTTCATCCCAAACACATATTCATAGTAGATTTACTTAACATTTACTAAGAGTCACTTGATTGCTGCTCTGTGGGGACATTTCTGTCTCAGCTAGTGCTGCCTACCTATCATCAGAACAAAAAGCCCAAGGATCATACTGTGTATGATCTAGGCACCCTGTAGACAACACATGAGGGATAGAAAATAAGATGTTGAAAAATAAATAGCAGGGGACATGAAGATGGATATGGAGTTTGTGTCTTTTCCAGAATAAAAACCAATAGATTTACTTTTAACCTGAAATGTTTGTATTTGCGGTAGCTTGGATTTCTTAGGCACACAGGCATCAATTGTTGCTTAAAACCTCCAAACAAATAAAAGCATTTATTATTTATATACATACAAGTCAAGGTTCCCTTACTTGACCAAAATGAGAGAGAACCTAGTTTTGCTGTCTTTCCTCACCAAAATACTTTAAATTAGTACATTTGACTTGTATTTCAAACTCCTTAAATTAATTTTAAATAAACTTCTATGTAACATAATTGTTTCATAGACAGGAACTTCATGGTCAAACATTTTGGGTATAAGTTTTATCCTTCCAGAATTTGATCCAGTTTTGGCAAGAGGGGTATTCATATTTTGATAGGAATGCCTGACATTGGATAATTTTCCTCAAAAAATTCTTAGCTCACCTGGACTGTGAAAAAACCTGAATTTACAGGATATTACTTAATTGTACATTCATATTTTCTGATTTGCATGCCTTCTCTAAGGTCTTCGTCTAGGAGACAATACCCATGCGGGTATATAAAAGATGCCACAGTTATTAGCATGGGGCTGAACACATTATATATACATGGAATATATAGGGTACCTTATTAAAAATATATTAATAAGAAGTCTTACTTTAAGAATTTCACAAAAGAAAAACTTGTATGCAAGTAACTGGTTAAAAGTGAACTGTAAATCTTAACCAATGTATACCTTTTTTCCTTGAATCCCTGGTAAACCCATGTATCCTGGTTCTCCTGGGGAACCCACTGCTCCTGGTTCTCCCTACATAACACAGAAATTCCACAAAGGTCACAGATCTACTGCTTATGGAAAAACACCACTGTTTTTAACTCTACATATCTCAATTTTAAAATGAATGGTTAAAAAAATTTATTGACAGTTATTACTACAGAAATAGTAAAGAATAAAATGTTTACTAGAATCCCAGTAAAATTTCTTGTATTTTTCTCTATCTTTTCCAGGTGAAAAATTCTCACAGCATTTCATATTTTAAAATTCTGTAAATATTTGTTATTTTTTATCATACTTTATAATTTCAATAAACTAAATTAAAAAGTTGTAAAAACAATAAACACAAGTATCTCTTTTTTGTTTACCTATTTACTAACACTTTTTCTCCTTGAAACTGCTTTTTCTCAAATTGCTACTTTTAAAAAAGCTTAGTTTCTTGTTACAAAATGATAATAGATAATAAAAATTATTAAAAATCTTATAACCCAATGTTTTTATTTTGTTACATATTTTTTCTCTAACTCTAATTCATAAACATACATAGTTACTAAAATATGCTCATATATATGCATACTTTTATATCTTTTAACCTCTAAATATATTAATATTATAAAGTTCTCATGCTATCATTTTTCATAGCATAATTTTTAATTATGGAAGAGCATTCATATTTATCAACTATATTTTATTTAATAAAATTCTTACTGTTAAACATTACAGTTTTCACAATTTTTATTTTTATAAACAATGTTGGAATGAACACCCTGGTAGTTAAATTTAATTATTTATATATATTTATTTATATATATGGAATATTATTTTGTTCGTCATAAATTCTGGAGCTATTTTTCAGTACAGGGTGTACCACATGAGCTATCTTAATTCCATTTCTCCACTCTCCATCATCCTATAGGAATTGTCCTTTCTGAAATAAAGTTTTTTGTTTTAAAGTCTTAAATAAATTATTTGCAAGCACATATTAATAATGCATTGACAATATTTGTAAGTGATGGAACATAATCCTGAACGTGCTTCATGGTTCTGTTTTGTTTTGTGTTTTACCATTAGTCCAAAACTCTATAACATCAACTAAAGAGCACTCTCTTTTTTAAAAGAAAATGAGGCTTTGTTCTTTTTGCTTACTGTAGTTCCTCCCTAGCCATCTAATCATTCTCTAGATTTTTGAAGGTTGGAAGTGAATTAAAATACCCATTGAAATAAACATCAACCCATGTGGTTTGGAGGAAACTTGTAAAGGCCATTTTGAGTTCTATATTAAAGATGAAACTGCCATAAGCAAACAAAGAACAGTATCATTCATGAGAACTACATACTCTTGTTTTCAACTGTTTAAGAAAAGTCTATTCTCTGGACCAGAAAGTAAGTTTATGTTTGCATACAATTTTATCATTTTTAGAAAAATTAAGCCAAAGTTTATGTCTTTATTATCCAATGACAAAGTATCTAAAAAACAGAAATGAAACTCTGTATTGACAATTTCATTTCATGATAAAGGTAATCCTTAATTTGATGTATCTCTTAAGGGATATAAAATGCTAATTTTCTTAAATGATGAGAAGAATTTACATTATAATTTCTTTGAAAATATTTTCAAATGCATCAAAATTACCTTGAGCCCAGAAGCCCCAGGCATCCCTTGAATTCCAGGTTCACCTTTGCTTCCCTGTCAACACATCAAAAACATTGGCGTTTTTTAAAAACAATTCTGTCATAATATATCTGATATAGACACTAAAGGGAATATATTTAAAATAATTTTTACATTTTTAACTTTCCAATTGTTTGATAGACTCTGTACATTAGACCTATTTATTAAGAAAAATTCTTTTAGGCAAGGAAGTGGTTCCACACATTCATAAGCCTCTCTAAACACCTGTGTTAAAGCTGGTAGCATCAAGTACAAGGGAGGAAAGTCAAATCTGTAGTGGTCAGCACTAATAAGTCCGGCCACCACACTGCACAGGTGGGAGCCATGTATTTTAACAGCATCCTCCAGGCTGAGACCCTCATCATTATCCTGTTTCACTTTCTCAGTAGGACTCATCTTCAGTATGCAACCGAAGGAAAGAAAAGTAGCTTCAAATGCACAATGGCTTCTTTTGACGAAGTGTGAATCAGAAAATGTTTAGCTTGTGCTTTTTCAGAATTCCAGTGCAGTTCTTTCTAACAGATGGAAACTTGGAGTACAAGACTAAGTTGACAGGGTAAAGAATGTAATACAGAAAAGGAAAAGTGGATAGAGAAAGAGAAAACAAGTCTTCTGGCCAATAAGGAGAGATTGTCAGATGTAGTTCTGGTTTTCGAATACTTTGATATCTGAAATCACAACCCAATGTCTGGCAAAAGCCCATAATTAAACAGGTTGGTGTGACACCTAGAAGGCGAACACAATAATTACCCACAGTCAACTCGGGTTTACTAATCAGTGAGACAAACCAATGCCATTTTCAGCTTTTAAAAAAGTTTTGTAGGCTGCTCACGGTAAGAAACACGTGAAGATCATATTAGATTTAATTAAAGCATTTAGCACATAACAGTGTTATTGAACCACAGAATAATGATTCCTTAAAATTTCTAATTTTATAAGGGTTTAAATTGAAACTCACAGACATGAGATTTGTTGAAAGTTACCTGACTTGATAAAGCTAACATATCCTAGTATTATTTAGAGAATTATTATTATCTTTTAAAGTTCTGGGTTACATGTGCAGGATGTGCAGGTTTGTTACATAGGTAAATGTGTGCCATGGTGGTTTGCTGCATCTATCAACCCATCACCTAGGTATTAAGCCCAGCATGCATTAGCTATTTTTTATGATACTCCTCCACTCTCAACACCCCCTGACCACTAACAGGCCCCAGTGTATGTTATTCCACTCCCTGTGTCCATGTGTTCTCACTGTTCAGCTCCCACTTCTAAGTGAGAACATGTGGTGTTTGGTTTTCTGTTCCTGCATTAGATTGCTGAGGATAATGGCTTCCACCTCCATCCATGTCCCTGTAAAGGACATGATCTCATTCTTTTTTATGGATGCATAATATTCCATGGTTCTTTTGCCAGTCTGATGGGCATTTGGGTTCATTCCATGCCTTTTCTATTGTGAACAGTGCTGCAGTGAAAATATGTGTGCTTGTATCTTTGTAACAGAATGATTTATATTCCTTTGGGTACATACCCAGTAAAGGGCAGATAATGTTTTTTAAAACCAAAACATAGTATAGTTAAATAGACTTATCAATGTTTCCACAGCGATTTTTAAGTATTATAATATACATTAGAGGTTTTCCAAAGATCTGCCTCAGTTTCAGCCTCATCTCTGCGCTACAGAATACGTTTTTGTCTCACCCTAGAACTTCTATCAGTCATATTGACAGCACAAGCCACAAACATAAGCTGACAAAACTAGCAGAAAGAAACTAATATAGAGGTCAGTAAACTATGACCCATGGGTTAAATCCAGTCCAATGCAAGTTCTTAAAGTTTAACCAGAACACAGCCGTACCCCATACCCATTTGATTAGGTATTGCCTGTGGCCACTTTTGCACTATAATGGCAAAACTGAGTAGTTACAACAAAGACTGTATGGCTCTCAAAGCCTGAATATTTACTTTCTGTCCCTTTTCAGAAAAAGTTTCCAACACCTAATATACTGCATGAAAAAAATTAAAATGTTTCACTGAGAAGATTATATTTAATATCTGCAACATTTTGGATCTATTTTTAACAAAGTAATTGTACAAGCACAAGAGGCAGAAAACCAACTTTAGAGTAAGTCATGTAAAAATAAACAAACTGTGATACTGGAAATGCTTACTGTCCTACCCAGCCAAATCAGCAGAATCTGCTTAAGTGGCAGACAGCACAAACACATTGTTCTAAAACCTTTTACGGAAAGTCCAACAGATACAATTGACCTTCAGCTCAGTGTGAGTCAACAGTGTGGTGTATCTAATAATAATTTTTTTAAAAAGCTGATGAAATTTTAGGCTTCATTCTTAAGAATTAGAGAATCCAAAAGACAATGAGAGAGCCCATTGTGCACCAGCTAATAAAGGGTATTTTCTTACGAAATGACCTTGAGAAACTGTGGAGACCTTCTGCTTAGCAAGCTCAGTCATTCCAGTGTATTAGACCAACTCTGTGTTTACCTATAGTTACTCCACAAGGGTCTACCACTGATGGAAGAGCAGCTAATTTTTCTCATTATTGGGCTCCCATGTCTTTTTTTTTTTTTTCCCCCTCTCTCTCTTTTCTAAATACTTTAGAAATTAAAAGTAAAATAGATTAAGTCATCTACTCATCTATACGCCAGGGTCTAGTCCCCTGAGGCAACGCCTAGTCAAAGGTTGAATGCTTCCAAAATAGCAATCCCATCACTTCCTTTTGGAAGGTTGTCCTAGAATCTATTTGCAAAATAGTTGGGAACAGTTTTCCGAGCGTTTTGTCTGATCCTCTGGTTAACCAAGGAAACAAAATAGTTCTCTCACCTCGGGATTATATATACCTAGAAAATGGTCAAATAATGACATTCAAAGAGTTTCAGTTCTACCTTGAGAATAACCTCATATCCTAAATATATTTGTCAAGCTTGCCTTACTTATTTAAAATATAAAAGTAAAGATAATATGCTCTTACTCACAGTACTAGTACAATCTACCACAAGGCACTTTATATTATATACATTTCACTAAATAAAAATACCAAAAAGAAGACTGTAAAATGGGTATTGTAAGAGATATTCTTATTCATAACTATGAATGCTCTAGACTGGTGGTTTTGGCACTGAGTTCCACAGAGCTCTAGTATTCCTGAATACTAGACACCAAGACACCAAAAAGGGAGAAGGGGGCTGAGTAGCAGAAGATTCTGGACCCTTTCCAACATAACAGGATGAGCTTTACTTTAGCCTGTTTCTTATGCTGAGCTTTTGCAGACTTAATTCTTACAAGTGATTTTTTTCATAGAATAAAAACCACATTTAAAATACAATCAAGGTAGTGGTTAAAATTTTCATCAAAGTTATAAATGTCAACTGTGATTACACAAAGTTCCCAATCTTGTTAATTTTATCATATTTACCTTAGATCCTGGTGTTCCAGGCTGACCTGGTGAGCCATTGCTTCCCATTAAACCCTACAATTTTAAAAAGGAATTTCAAGAGTAACTTAGACAAGATTATTAAAAAATATTAAATCAATTTCCAAGTTACACGTTCTCATTATGAGATCTGAAAATATAATACAGTATTTAGAAAATTACTCCCCCATATATTCATAAAGGATAATAAAAGTAAAAAATCAAACCATGTAAGACAGCATAAAGGCTAGCAGAGCACTTATAATCCTATTGCTTACAAAAACTACAAATAGAGAAAATGGAGAGCTAATAAAAGAAAATATAAAGAAAAATTTATTTTTTCTATACTTTTTCTTTTGTTATGATGGCTAAGAATTAGGTGTCTTCATAGATGTTATCCTGATTTACATTATTTAGAATTCTATTATCTTGAACAATATTTTAAAAGAGTTACATTCTAATGAACTTTCTGTATAATCTTTCTTCAAGGTACAAAATGGCTGTATCTTTAATCATATGATTCAAAATAAAAAAAATGATGACTACTCTTTTAGTTAGAACTTGATTTCATTTATATTCTACTTTAAATACTATTATACATATTTAACACACTTGGCAAATGAAAAGGGATTAAAAAATCATTATATCATCAGAAAATATAATCGCAATATGAACCTATAACAGACAATTTGATTATAGGTGAAAATCAACATCACTTCTAGCAATAAACTTAAAATTTAGGGGGGAATTCTTGCACATATGATAGAACTTTCATAATTTTGAGTCAGTTTCATATGCCATCTTCACTCTCGAAAACCATAAAATAATTTACTCTGTTTTAGGATCTTCCCATACTATGTCTTCTGTACATATTCTTTCCCATTAGTGTAATATGTTTGTAAATGTAATTTAAAATAAAATTCACTGAGATTTAGACTTAGCCATACTTAGTATTTTTAAATTAATAGCTAGAATATATGTTTTCTAATTTATCTACAGTTAGGGTCCCTGATGTTTATTTGGGTGGCCGACTTTTTGAAAAACTGAAGAAATTTTTACTGTTTTAGAAAAATGCACATAGACATAATATTTTTAATACAACTGAATGGAATTCATGGACCTCAAGTATTTTATTGTTGTATCCCCTACATTTTTATGAACTCTTGAATATGAACTCCTAGTAGGTAAGTAGCAACATTGCAAACACTTTGATAATAATGACATCAACATACAGGCATCCCTGGGGCTCCTTTTTTTCCTTGTTGTCCTGGAGGCCCAATTTCTCCCTAAAAAATCAAACATTAAAAAAAATTGTAAATTGTAAATTATCAATTTAGTTCAAGAAAGTTTCTGCGAAAGCACAATGGAATGACAATTGAATATCAATCAGCTCAACTTTTTCTTTCTCTTCCACTACTGTAAGGAAGAAGCAAGGCAAGGCAAAAATTGGAACCTAACACCTTAAAGACCTTGGCATAGAGTCTGAGGATTTACTGTCAATATTTTTATTATGACATTTATAGTGACATTTGCCATTCTTTCAAAGGAAGACTTAGCAGCTTAGATGGAGTTGGTAAGGTAAATAACAGAAATAAAAATCAGGTGAAAAATTTTCCTATTTATCATAGAGTTTAAGAAATATGACAGTGAACATAAATTAATAAAGAAAAATAGAGTAAAAACATAACAGCATTAGACTTCAATTTCTGGGGTTGCAGCATTAGACTTCAACTTCTGGGGTTGCAGCTGACTAGGTCCTCTAAAGGGACCCTCTAAGTCCAGAATAAAAATCCTAGAAGGAACATCCTCTCTGAGAGAGCGTTGGTCTTCCAAGAAGTAGGAGATGTATTCAAAGATCTTTCATTTTAATGAAGTATACTTTGAGTTGGGGCTATAATTATGAGGATTTGAACTATACAGAACCCATGCCAGAGACAGAATTGTAGGAGCCAAGTAAAGTGGGAGTATCTGAGGGTGGATCTTCAGCTCTCGGGAAACTGAATGCTGGCCAGCCATGGAAAGGAAGCAGGAATCTTCAATACCTATGATGACTCGGGACTTTCAAAGGGGACTGAAATGGTATCCATGGTGACCAGCAGAAGGCAGGTCTTCATTTTCCCGTTAGGCTGACAGGGCACCCTCTAAATTAAGATGAAGCAATAAGCTCATGATAAACAATATAGAAACAAGAGACAGAAAGCTACAGGAATGAGAATAATAAATAATAAACTGCAGATGTTAGAACTGTTAGAATTTAGAACTAGATATGAGATTTTTTTTTAATTAAAAAAACAGAATCATGAAAGACTATTAGTACTGAAAACATAACAAGAGACTTCAAGAACAAAAAGTTGTGGTTTAAAAAATTATAAACTCTAAAAGTGAAAATTATGAGTATTTACAATTTTAAAAAAAATCAATTGATCATTCTAACAGATTAGACACAATAAAGAAAGAAAAAGTCAACTATGAGGCATATCTAAAACATTTAACCAGAATGTATGACAACCAAAAATATGGAAATATAGTAGGTAATGCTAAAAAGAGATGTGGAGTATACAATTAGAAGAAATTAAAAAATGTCTAACCAGAATTCCAGAAACAGAGAATGGAGCAGAGGTTATATGGAGATAATGGCTGATTCTTTCCAGAACTACTGGAAATAATTCCACAGAGCCAGGAAGCAAACCAAAGTCCCAGCAAGATGAATAAAGAGATATCCATATCAAGATATATTGTAGTGAATTTGAAGAACACTAAAAACAAATAAAATACCTTAAAAGGTTCCAAAAGGAAGAGACAGATCACTTACAAAAGAATGATAATTAGAATGACAGCAGATTTTTCACAGTTAACAATGAAAGCCAAAAAACCATAGAAGAAAATCTTCAATTTACTAAGAGAAAATAATTGTCAACCTTGAGTTGTATAGTCTACAAAATTGTCCTTCAAAACAAGAGCAAAATAAAGAAGTTTGTAATTAAACAAAAACTGAAAGCTTATTTACCAAGATACATATACTAAAAAGACATTCAAAAACATAGTTAAGTAAATTAACTTTAAAGAAGTAAATTATACCATGATTATCTTAGAGAACAAAGTTGAAAAGTAGCAAAGTAAAGGAGGAAGCATATAATGTAAATCTAAATTAAAATTATCTACATAAAACAACCATAAAACAATATATACAAATTTGTAAAGCCAGAACACCAGCTTCTAAAATTATATAATATTTGAAAAATTAACTGTTACCACAAATGTAAAAATGTATTTTTTCATAGACAACAATGCATTAAATGAGCAGATCCAGGCCCAAAGCTAACTCTCATGAATACTTACCTTTTGGCCCATTAATCCTCGGTTTCCAGGAAACCCTGGGATTCCCTAAAAACAAATAAAATAGATTTTTGACTTATAAAAACTTGAAGACTTTATCATTAAAGAAGAATCAGTCACAACTGGAATTTTAACTGGTAAATAACACATATTTTCAAATGTATACATATTATAATATTGCTATTTATAATAATCTAATATGGAAAAGACGATTTATGAGATATACTATTATATGACTACTACTGATATTTAGAGCTTTAAATAAAGGTTTTTTGAAAAAGAAACTATGAGGAAATTAATCTCAGTTCTTGCACCCCAACACGAGTGATAAAATTAAAACAATGTTTCATTTGAACATAGTCTTGTATTACTTGTAATGAATCATGCAAGAAAATCTGTTAAATGATATAAGTTCTGATTTAGCGCAACAGTTCCTTTCCACAAGCCCTCAGTCTCACCACCTTAGTTAAAAATTAATTTAACTAAATGATTTCCTCCAACCTGAGCCTTGAAATACCCAAGAACGTAAATATTCATATAAAAATGGCAATCTTTTCTCTTAATAACTCCCTTACTGATGCAATCATGAAGAATATGAAGACCACAGTTTGTGAAGAGACATAAAGAAGTACAAGTCACTCTTTCACATGGCTGAACCGATATGTACATGTCTCTGGCAGCATTCAGAAAAAATTAATGTTAATTCTATCAAATTAAGAATAAATTTAGCATATTCATTACTTGCAGAACAGTTCTATTTTCTGCCTTTTGATGCATTTACCCAAAATGATCATTTATCATGCAAAACACTGATTGTCCTAATCAATTTTTGCTTTTTATTCCATTTTCTTAGCACCTATTTTGGTGACATTTTAGCTGAAATTGTTAACAACATTTATATTTTTATATATATGTATTGAAACTGAAAGACAAGGAAATTGGGTCACATCTATATGACTTTGAAAACCCTCTGCACTAGCAGGCCTTCCAAAGGAAAGCAGTACTCTTCAGTAAATCACAGCAGGTGCTAGAGCTGCCATTGCCAATGAGATCAAGTATCTTCTTCTATTACAGGCAGAATCTGCCATTATATTTATTTTCACACCTGAAGTTTATAAATACAACCTTTATTGATCAATGTGCTAATCACAATTACAGGGCAAGACATAAGCACATAGTTCTAGTTTTAAAATCTGAACTTAAATCATACATTGGAATTCAGTTTGATTCTATTCAGCTCAATTCAGTTTGCCACTTCACTATACTCTTTGCAGGGAACAAAAGTGGTATGTGAGCAATGACTATCAACAAGGGACTCAATCTACTTGAAAAGACAAGCCTTTATAAACATAAGTAGAGAATAATATGAAAACAATAAAAAATACCTTAAAGTAACAATATAAAACACAATCACAGTACACCTAATAAGCACTCTAAAACATAAAGTAAAAATAAAGTCACTGAGTTACGAATATAAAATGAATTGTATCTTCTTAGGCAGAAAATGCATATTCTCAATGCAATCAATTAAGGTAAACATTATTCAAAATAAGAGCCTCCATTTCAATGAACCATAATTTGCTGTGAAACCACTCTGTGACTTCCTCCCGTTCAAATACCCACACACACATGAAAATTCACTAGAAGTTGAGATCAAGTTCTGAATTTAACTAAGACGTGTGTCAATTCTTCTCAGAAGCAAGGTGGCTATACATTGTTCTATGCTGGAAAACTGGTACAGTTCTGTCAATGTAATAATGTTGGCCCCGAGAATTCCTAACGGCCACATGAGATTACCAATGACAATGTCAGACCTGAGAAGCTGAATTTCTTACTAGTCTTTTATCATTTAAAGTTTTCATCACTATTCAAGCCTCTGTGCCCTTACACAGTCTGTGATGTTAGCAGAATTAGTTACAGATATCCCGAAGACAATCCCAGTGTTAGCAAGTTCACATCCTTTCCCTGGAGAAAACAGTTATACTTCCATGAATAGCACCTTGGCTTCCACCTCCTCAAAGCCCTTGAGAGTCCATTTCCCCACTGTTTACTCCATGGAGTTGATTTGACACCCTTTTGTTTTGTTTTGTTTTGTTTTTTGTTTTGTTTTTTGAGACGGAGTCTCGCTCTGTAGCCCAGGCTGGAGTGCAGTGGCGCGATCTGGGCTCATGTAAGCTCCGCCTCCCGGTTCACGCCATTCTCCTGCTTCAGCCTCCCTAGAAGCTGGGACTACAGGTGCCCACCACCACGCCCGGCTAATTTTTTTGTATTTTTAGTAGAGACAGGGTTTCACCGTGTTCGCCAGGATGGTGTCGATCTCCTGACCTCGTGATCCGCCCGTCTCGGCCTCCCAAAGTGCTGGGATTACAGGCGTGAGCCACTGCGCCTGGCTGACACCCTTTTTTTCTGAGACATTCTAATACTGAACTTGGCCTGTAGAAGAACATAGCCACAAATCTTACATTATTTCAACATATCTGATATTAAGATTATTTTCGGGAGATTCCAGATTATAAAAAAATAGTCCTTTTTGTTCATCCTCTCAAACTGGCCAAAAATTTACATACGTTTCATAGATATGTATATCCATGAAGTCCTAATAGATCTTCTATGTCCGATTATGCTAAGAATTATTACTTCTTCTACAAATACCAAATAAAAATATAAAAACTATACGATGTCAAAAACAAAATGTAGGCCTGATTTAGCTAAGGAATTCTTGACAAAACTAATATAATACCACAAGCATGCATAGAATACCAGCTTATTGAGGGCGAGGTTAACCAGGGAAACTGAAATCATTGAGCTATATTAGTTAATAAAATTCTCCAAGGTAATATTTTCCTAGGCTCCCAATATGTGTATTGAAATTGACTAATGTTATCCATTAGCATTTGAAAGTTAACAGTTTGTTGATCGCAAAGTATTCAGTGACAATTATTTTATAGAGTAAATGTGTTTCCAAGGAGACTATTTTCTATTTCGCTGTGGTTTTGGGTTCAGGCAACAGTGACAATGTCCAAGTAAAGACAGAAACAAGTAAGAGTAAGTGGACATATTTCCTCTACTTCTGTGATTTCAGTTTGGGTTTGAGGAAGAGCAGAAAGTCAACCAGAAAATCCTGCATAATGTTGTGGTTAAAGAATGTTGACATAAAAAATGTTCTAGAAGCTTCTCTGTAACCATTTAAACCACTGCTGTACAACAAACAAGTTGCTAAGAATAGAAATACATACTTGAGAATAAAGGGTTTGACTTCCATTTCCTAGAGAATACTTTGTAATGAAGGGAGTGTGTCTATGACAATATTACTTAGAAAAGATGAAATATCACATTATACTCCCCATATGTAATGAATGTATTCACTTATCTATGAAATTGGACCATCTTAGATCAAATTTGCTTTTAAGTAATGCAATATTTTCAATTCACTTAAAAAGATCTAAACTATTAATGGTACTTTTGTATCAAATTATCTACTTTCTACACAATGGTAGAGCTATTTAATATCATCCAGTTATCAAAATATCAGAAGTATATTACATGTTTTCTTCATTATATCAAGAAGTGATTTACTCATTCTTAAAGATTCAATGAAGGAAAAATTCACATGTTGAAAGTATCATTCTCATTAACTAAAAAGATTCCAATATAATTATCAGTAAAGTGCATAGTAGAAGTCATATGAAGCAGCTAAAAATATAGATGCTGGAGTCAGCCAGCCCATGTCCGGATCCACTCCAGGCCAGTTATTTAAATTGTAAAATCTCTGAATCCGTTTTCTTTGTGGGAAAAATAATAAAACCTATCTCACAGAGTTGGTACATTCTATCAATTAAGCTTTCACAAATATTTAGCTCAGTAATATTGAATAAATTTTTATAACTGTCTCTTCACAGCTCCTCCCTGACCTTTGAAAGTTGTGAAATACTTGAAGTCATTTTTTTTCCATGTCTCTAAGTTTTCTCCTCTTTCTCCATTGTGAGGCTTTTTCTTTTTGCCTTTCTACCTTGCCTTTCCCTACTTTAATTTCCAAAAATGTCCATTATATGTAGGATGATGCCAGCAATCTAAAGTTCCCCACTCGGGGGCGCCAAAAGTCAGCATTGCCCCCCCTATTCCGTACCTTTCCTTTTCATGTTTGGTTGATCTTGATTACAGAATAGTACTATCATGACTTTTGCTTTTTAAATATTTTAAATAATTCATCACTGTTCAGAAAAAGATGACCAAGAGTATTAAATATATTTATATTTATATATAGTTGAACCCTGCAATGTTTTTCAATTTTTTTTTCCACAGTAACTGGCAGGCCATTATGAATGATTTACAACAGATTATTCTGTGGTAAGGTAACTATAGGGAGAAGTAAGTTACAATCGCAGTTGCCAGACCTAAAAGAAACCAATATACAAGTACTTGCAATAAACCCTTGATAAGGAAATGACCAATTTTCTATTCTCACATTATGCTGTCATTAATCTTCAAGGAAAAAAAAAAATCTAAGAATGTTGGATGAACTTATTCACCCTGGCCTGTAGACAATGGCCCACTTGGGACTGGACCCAAGTTACCCAAAGATAAACAATTTAAGTAGAAAATACTTTAGCCAATGATTATAGGCTACTCATGTTTATAATAAAGCAGAAAGTGTCACGAGTTTCACCTTATAGGCAACAAAAAAAGAGAACAAAGATATCATAGGAAGGAAAAGCCATTTGGAGGCCATTTTCAAGGCTACTCCAGTAATTGGCATTTCTTTTCCACACCAAAAGGCATTTCTACATTTTTATAAACCAATAAAATAGTCTGAACAATGTTACTGTTGCAAAAGCATCCTTTTCCAGGACAAGACAAAAATCACAAATTCTTAGCAAATAACAAACCTGAAAACTCAGACAAGGAGGAAGACTATCTGGAGAGGAAGGGAAAGGATTAAGAGATCTGGTACCCCTGTCACGTGGTGGGAAATTAATGTAGCCACCAGAGCCCAACAGGTCCAGAAAAACCACCTGCCCCTTTATATCAGTTAAGTGAAATGCATATGA